TGTGTGTTTGAATCAAGTTGCAATGGATTAAATTTGATAGCTTGCCCAGTTTATATCCAGCAATGGAATGAGTCCCAGTGGACAAGGATGTTTGCGTTCAGCCTTCTGGCCTGCCGTTGCCAATCCCCTCCCGGGAGGGTTTTCATGAACTCAGGGAATCCGGGTCATCCCTGGCCATTTCTCTGTGTTGTACCGCCATTCCCCCCAGAAGAAGTGGCCCTCGTTGTGGATTTCTTTGGGAAACAAGTCAAGAATCCTAGTGAGTAGGCCGTCAATCAGGAATAAATACTGAAAGAGAATCAAGACCCCAAGCTCTATAGTATTAGGTGAGTGTTTTAAGATGGTGTGGTGGGCAGAGTAATAGCCTTCCAGTGACACCCACGGCTAATTTCCAGGACCTGTGAACGCGTGACATTACCTGGCGAAGGGGGATGAGGTGGCTGATGGAATTGAGCTTGCTAATCAGCTGACCTGTGGTGGGGAGATTTGCCTGGATTACCCAGGTGGGCCCTGTGCGACCGGAAGGGTCCTGAAATGTGGCCGAGGGAGACAGGAGAAGCAGCATCTGAGTCATGTGAGCAAGACTAGCCCCACCATTGCTGACCTGCACAATGGCAGAAGGGACCACGTGTCACGCAAAAGTGGGCAGCCTCTAACAGCTGGACAAAGAAACATGTACTTCCCTAGAACCCCCAGAAGGAACACAGCCCTGCCAAAATTTTGATTTTGGCCCACGGAGGCCCATTTCAGAATTGTGACCCTCCCCCCAAACCGTAAGACAATAAATGTGTGTTGTTCTAAGCCACTAAATTGGTGGTGATTTGTTAACAGCAGCAGGAGGAAACTAATACAGATGGAAGCTTAACATTTGTTGTCCGGACAAATCAGGTGACACTTCTATGCAGCAATTTGTAAAAATTGCTTCTTACTGTATAATTTTGTAAAGTTGCTTCCTGATCAGGCTTCTCACAAACAGTTCCTAACATTAGGGGGAAGAAAACTGGAAAAGCTTTAACTGAGATGACTAAAGACAAGCATGAAGCTTATCAACACTTTAATGACCAAAGTAAGAAAAGGGGGCAAGACAGCCTTATTTCCCAGGCATCTCTTAAGACTCTCAGATGCCTCACATTTGGAAAAGGAGTGGGAGTTAGAAAGCTCTAGAACTAAGAAACTTTAAAATGCTCTGCATCCCCAGTAAGCAAACTACTTCGTTTGAATAACACCATAAAAATGAATTCCAGGGGGGTGTGGACAGGAGCAAGATTAAGTGGTGGGCGGCTGACAACAATTTAGAGGTCAGGCTTTTTAGGGGTGCAAAAATGTTACTGAGTTTTAAAACATCACTGAAAGTGTAAATGGACAGAGAAGCTAGTATTTGCCAGAATGACTCTTACACAAGAGAACAACTCTACTAAACAACTTGGGGTAGGGACCCCGTGCCTATTCAGGAAAGTGGGTCTCATTGAGTTCAGGGTAGTGTGGTCTGATGGGGTACGCGAGCTTGGAGCATCACTGGGCTCCTTGAAACTTTCAATGTGAGCTTCCTTGTCTGTGTTCCTTACCCTGCACTGCCTCAAAATGAGCAGTGCGGGGATATTTACAAAGCGTCCTCTTGAAGGGCGCTCCATTCATCCTGTCTCAGGTTGGCCCTGCTGTGTGTCATGTGTGTGTGTGAAGGGATTCCCCGGCAGTGATGTTCAAGGTCATTTTTCTAAACTTTGTTGGGGTTTTGAAGTCATCTCTGACTTTTCGGAGCCTAAGAATATTAACTTATCTCCTTGGTTTTATTGTAACCAGGTTCCCGGAAGTGACAAGTTCTTTGGTTGACATGTCAGAATGGAGTTGCGTTTTAAATAGCCAGAACTCTTAAATGGTTTGGAATCTCTTAGTGCTGTCATGTTTACATGTTATAGTACAGCATCTTATGGGAAATATAAACATACTCACTTGCAAACAAAAAAAGAACAAACCCCGTTCTTTTTGGTGCGGTTTTACTCTAAAATGTGTATGTTTTATGATGAGTTTGGTGTCGAGGAGTTGGAATTAGACTCTAGTGTTTTCAGTTTATGTAGCTCCCCTTCTTACAATGTAGCCCAAATAAAATAAGAAGACTATGAATTCGTAAAAATGTGTGCTGTTCAGTTTTGTGGTGCCTGGATGGATTCGAGAAAGGTCATATAGATGAGATTTCATCCTCCCAAGAACAACTTCACCTCTTTCAGAGTACTGAAAAGTCTACAGAAGCAAACGTAAACTTTTAATTTCTCCACACAAAGGATGTGCGGTTTCAGTTCCATAAAACAAATCAACAGGGTTTGAATGCAGGCTTTCAAATGCAGTGAAGATTAACTGGTCGAAATGTGTGCCCGCCTCCTGGTTTCCTCTTGAAAAACTTATACCAGGTAAGTGAAGAAAACCAGTGGGGAATAAAAAAGTTCAAAGAATCCATTTCCTTCTCACCGATGGCCATTCCAGGGGGTGGCTTGTGGGGCCGAGGGGGAGATGTACTTTACTTCGTCCTACCCTCCTCTTCCCCAAAGTCATTTACCAAAACCAAACAAACCGACACGTCAAACAGTGC